GATTGTTGCAGCGGCCGTAGACGAGGGCGGCTGGGGCGGCAGTGTGTGCGGCACCAGCCGCGCCAGCAGCGTCTGCAGTGGGGACGAGGGCGGCTTCGAGCACGCCTTGAGTGCGGAGCTCCTGGCCTCGCGGCCAGCGTCACCGCGGCTAAGCCTGGACGACGTGTCAGTTGGCGCCGCGCTCGAGACCAATGGCGACGCACAGATCAAGGCGGTCGTGGAGGGCTGCGGGGAGCCTCGCGCCCCCAGCCGCGCCAGCAGCCGCAGGCTCAGCCCCAACGGCGCCAGCAAGCTGGCGTGCGTTGACGTGGCTGCGCTCTTTGCCGCTGAGTGCGGCAGCAGCAGCTGCACGGGCGCCAGCGTCGCCACCCACGTGGCGGGCGCCATGAAGCCCTGCGCTGTCTCAAGCGGGGCCGCGGTCCGCAGCACTGGCGATGTGAGCTGCAGCGACGCACGCGGCGACGCGTGCGCGGCGCTCGACGCCGCTTCCAGCTGCGAGGCGGACGCGGCGGCCGCGATTGCCGTCGTCACACTCACCAGCACCAGCAGCGGCGCCAGTAGCAAGCAGCTTTCGCTCAAGAGCGGCGGCGCCAAGAGCCCCTGCGCCGTCCGCGGCGGCCGCGATATGCGCACGCCCGCGGAGCGCGTTCAGGGCGCGGCCCACAAGCTGCGCAAGGAGGCCGGCAGGGCGGCGGCGGCCCTCAAGGGCGCCTTCTGCATGCGTGCGCCTGCGGTGTACTGACAGCACTGCCCATCACTTGCGGTCTCAACCTGACTGCCGTGACACCCAAATAAGTTCCCCCCAAATAAGTTTTTCTCACATAACAAATGAGGTCTGTGGGGCCATGCTCACATATGCTTCCTTACTTATCTGTTTCTAGCACTGGTGGTTCGTTTCAGAGATGCACCGACTGGACTGGTCACACCTTGTGGGCAAGCATGAGCACGAGCTGCAGGGATTCCGCCGCCGCCCCGCCCTGTTGTGCGGCGCCGCATTACCTCGGGCTCCCTGCGCGATGCACCAGTGCATCGTTGGGGCGCACACTCCCTTCCTTACTCCTACCTTACTTTCTTATCAGGAAGCACTCTGGCTGATCCCTGACTAAGTACTTTGCCTTGCGAGCAGGCAAGCCTGCCTCCCCTTGGATCGTTGTACTTGCGGGCTGGCAAGCCTGCTGCCCCTTGAACCGTTTGCATTGGAGCCTGGGGCGCAGCCGCGGCGAGGAGTGGGGGTTGGGCCGCTGCCAAGCGCGGTCAGCCCCCCAGTCCATTTTTGCGCTTTTACCTCGACTGCACATGCACTGCCCCAACACCTCTGGGGCGCCTGCATGCTTCCTTATCCGTTCCAAGCATTGGATGGCGTTTTCAGGAAAGCATAGGCATCGGTAGCATACCGAATTGCATTGCGAAGGCAGGCAACCGTGCCCGCCCATGCGCATGTGCAGCGAAGCCTGAGCGAAGATTGGTGGGGATCGCACCGGGGGCGGGCGGGGGGCTGCAGCTGTGCGCGGCCGCCCAAATCCAACACTTCCACGTGACCTCAGGCCCTTGCCTGACGATCAAACTCTGAGCAGACGCGCAACCATCCCTTTTTTGTGGTTTTTCCACATAACAAATGAGTTCTGTGGAGCCATACTCACATGCGCTTTCTTCCTTATCTGTTCTCAGCACTGGTGTTTGGTTTCAGAGATGCACTGACTGGACTGGTCATATCTTTTGGGCAAGCATGAGCACGAGCTGCAGGAATTCGGCGGCTGCTCCGCTCTGTTGTGCGATGCCGTGTGACCCTGGGCTTTCTGCGTGACCCACCAGGGCTGAGGGGGCGCACGCTGCCTTCCTTTTTCTCCTACCTTTCTTTCTTGTCAGGATTGAAGCACGTGGGGTGATCCCTGACTAAGCACTTTGCACTTGCGGGCAGGCAAGCCTGCCGCCCCTTGGACCGTTTGCATTGGAGCCTGGGGGGCAGCCGCAGCAAGGAGTGGGGGTTGGGCCGCTGCTAAGCGCGGTCGGCCCCCACTCAACTTTGGCGCGTTTACCTTTGGCTGCGCACGTGCCGCCCCAAAACTGCTGGGGTGCTTGCTTGCTCCCTGACCCGTATCAATTTCAAGCACTTGATGGCGGTTTCAGGAAAGCAGAGGCGTTGCTATCATGCCGAACTGCATTGCCAAGGCAGGCAACCGTGCCAGCCCCTGGCCTGTGCATTTGCAGCGAAGCCTGAGTGATAGGGGGGATGAAGCGGGGGTGCGTGGGCATGGGGCTGCAGCTTTGCGCAGTCGCCCGAATCCAACATTGCTGTGTGCCCTCGGGCTGTCGCGTGGCGCTCCGACGCTGAGCAGGCGCACAATAATCCCTTTCTCATCGATCCCAAGCAATGGTCGTGAAATCTTGTGAAGCACTGTGTTTGCTCTCATGCACCTTGGAAGGGCAGCCAGGCGAGCTGGCTGTCCTGAATAAACTGGCCACATCGTCGGCACGCAGCCTTGCGCGAACGCCGGCATCCTTGTAACCTCGTACAGTAATACAACCTGGTCATAATTTCCCCTGCAAAACGAGGAGTTTGCTGCCCAGGGTTGCTGGCCGCCAAGCCGCTTGCCAATCAAGGGAAAACCTGATATCGATTGATACGCTTGGGATTGCCCCTGTTGGGCGACACAGGTGATGAGCACCGCGCACGCACTGCTTGCCGCAGCGCCGTGGGCGCGTCCCTCAACGACCCAGGCCTACTCATTCAAATTGTGCTGATTTGTTGAATATGCCAGTCTGCTGGGTGTAATCCAACACGGAGCTGCGGACGTGCGGCCCAGGATGCGGCCCGAGTGGCTGGCAGAGTGACGGAGCAGAGGCAGCAGCTGCCTCTCAAATTGCAAATGGCAGTTGCCCGAGTGTTGTATTACAGTGCTCAGTGGAACAATGTGAAGACAACAAGCCGCCAAGAACAAGGTCAAAAGACCATGCACGGCTGTGAGGTGCAAGATCCGGTGATTGCTTCACGCTGCACGGGCAAACGCGTCAGCCACAACTGCATTGACCAATTGACCAGCTGCTACTAAACCTCCCACAAACCGCTTGGATCGAGGCGGGCCCCGCCCTAGGCCTGCACAGCAGCTCTGCCGGGACGATCACAGTTTGCTGAGCTCGTTGGCGCGGTTGGTGGCGGCGACGACGGCCGACATGTACGCGGCGCGCACCCCGCCCTTTTCGAGCTCGTGCACGCCCGCGATGGTGGTGCCGCCCGGGCTTGTGACCATCTGTCGCGCGGGCGCATTTGAAAAGGGCGGGGGTCGGTTCCACAGGTCGGGCGCGTGCCAGCGGGGGAGCTGGTTGAGCGTGTTGAGCGTGGCTCAATTAGCTGGTCGCAAAATTGCGAAGAGCGCCGGAATGCAAAGCAGCCAGCGCGCCAGACGACCAGCCATGCTGGCACGCCCCAACTTGCACAGGCCCTTGTGACCCCTGCCCACTGCCGCCTGAGCCCCCCAGTGACAGCAACCCACGCTCCAGAGCCCCAAGGCACGCAGTCAAAGCGGTCAACTCTCACATCTTTGAGGGCCCCGGGGTGCTTCCCGGTGTCCAGCACCATCTTGGCACTGCCAAGCACGGTCTGCGCCGCCAGCGCCTGCGCCACGTCGCGGGGCAGGCCTGCGGGGGCCGCGGGAAGGGCGGCGCGGCGCTGCATTGGAATCCCAGTGTGAAAGAAGCCATAGCCGGCCTGCTGGTGTGCCGCAGGGCCTCCGAGCTCAAGGAGGCCGAAACTCAGAGCTTTTGAAGGCCGAGCGTGGCCCGACGCAATCAAGGCCCAGGGTTGACTTTGCAAAGCACGCCTTGCAGCAAACCCCCTTGCACAGGCCCCGCGCCCACTGCCCCGATCCCCTCCACCAAAGCCAAGGCGTCGCGGCGCCCCGCCGCTCACCCGCGCGCACGCCGCCGTCTGCGAGTGCCTCAATCATGAGGAACACAAACGCGGGCCCGCTGCCGCTGAGGCCAGTGACAGCGGAGAGAAGCTTCTCATCCAGCTGGTATATGCGGCCGACGGCGCTGAACAGGGTGGACACCAGCTCAGCGTCCTCGGGGGTGGCCTGGGGGTTGGGGAT